TATACATATTATATATATATATATCGGTTTATTTATGTATAGCTGTCGATATGGATACAGAGGTAGATACACAGAGATAGATGGATGGATAGATGGATAGATGGTCATATGTTTACAATTGTATGCACACTATGCATTCGTACTGGAACGCACTGCCAGGTCACACCGCTCCTTGCCGAACTTGCCTCCAAGGCAGGTTGTGGATGCATGAAGTATGTGACTTCAACTCGGCATAGCTATGTTCGACTCATGAGTGCTAAATTTTAGGAATCCTCACATGGTTCGACATTGAAATTGCAAATTGCACTCGATGTGCATTGAGGCCATCGCGCGGCCTTTGGCCATCGTAGCCTTCGGCTTGGCAGATGTCAGTCCGGAGCTGAGGTGTCGACAGAGCTGTCACGCGCGTGTGCTCAAGGGAGGGGTAGCCTCTCGTTAGCTTTGCAAGTGCCTGAGGTCATGACATGCTGGTAACTCCAACCCGGGCGCAGATGAACGACGTTTTCGACCCTGACACGGCAGAGTCGCGAAGTGCAGTGATTGGCGGAATTGCCAAGACATTCGCTATGCTTTGTGCAATCCTGTTGCCGAGAGCTGGAGCTTTCTTGACAGTTGCAGTTGTGGCGTTTTTCTCAACGACAGCACAGCTGTTTTGGCGACCGGAGAAAGCGGCACTCGCGATCCAGGACAGCCTTGCTGAGGTTCAACGGGAGGATGCGGCCTCGGAGCGGGTTCGCACTTATCCAGCCGGCTTTTGGCAACTGTGGCTCCTTCAATGTGCGGGCTGGTTGTCAGTTTGCACATGGAGCTTCTATTTCACAAGCGTCTGGGCAGAAATCAAGGGAGCTCGCTCAAGCAAAAGTCCTGGCTTCGAGCCGGCCGTGCGGGAGGCCACAGGTTACCTTTTGCTGGGATCCTTCGTCTTTTTAGGAGCTGGAGGGGCCCTCTCAAGGCTCTCAAACCTCTGCACGGAGTGGGCCTCGCTTTGCGCCTCTGTCCTTGCGATGATGGCGACTCTGATGGTGCTCTGCATGGCACACTTGAACAGCATGCTGCACTGGCTGGCAGCAGCTTTGGTGGTTTTCGCGATGCCTGTGGCCTACCAGATACTTGCAAACACTCCCTTCAAGTGGTTAGAGAGCCAGCCGGGCTTTGACGAAACCCAGCGAGGTTGGCTCACAGGGATCTTCAACACCACCCTTGCGGTGGCGCAAGCATTTACGGCTGTCCTCAGCGGTCCGATCGTGGCGGCCGCCGGGGGCCGACTTTGGGCCGCGTATGCAGCAGCCTTTCTCTTCGACGTTCTGGTGCTCGTCCTGGTGATGGTAATGAGGTTCCGGTCCCTCTCCTCCCCCCGGGAGCTTAGCGATCTGAGCCAGCGATGAGGTTCTGTTGGGTGGAGAAGGCCAAAGACTTGCCTGATCAACACCTCCAACCCTCGTCACGGCGACGGGGGACCCAGTGACTCGTGCGGATCCTTCGCATCCGAATCGAAGCAATTCTCGGAACGATCCGACCTTCGGACCACCTTCGGGCCGTCAGATCACCGGGCCCGGTCCGAAGGCCTTGAGGGCCTTGCTCGACTTCCCAGCTGCCGGTAGCGAAGTCGCGCAGCTCGCCGCGGCGGTATCGATGTGCGACGGGACATGAAAGATGTCTGCAACGGTCGTAGTCGGATAGCATTCCTGCTTCTGTGGCTGGTGTAGGCAGGTAGAAGCTCCACCCAAGCTGCTTTGACGAGTCTGGCCGAAGATTATGCCGATGTACTTCGGGACTGAATCATTACTTAAGTTAGCTATGGTTGTTGTTGCAACTGCAGGTGCTATGTTTATAAGTGTCGCCCATCTTCAACAGCTCGCTTGCAGAGCTTGATATCCGATATATTGGCTTACTTACTGCGCAGCCACTCAAAAGCACATGCGAGTCAGGCGCCTACCCTAAACCCTAAACCCTAAACCCTCACAAAGCCAGGATCGTTCCAGTCTATGTCTTTGGCGAGGCACAGCTGCCGGAGCCCAAGCTTCCTTATACAGAAGCCTTAAGAATTACCAATACTATTTTGGGGGTTTAGGGTTTAGGGTTACCAATACTATTTGGGGGGGTTCGATAATTATAAGTATGGTATAATGGTTGTCTACGAGAGGTATGAAGCCTGCTGTAGACTGGGGCGACTCGAGGTTCAATGTCAATGAGTATAGCGAGTACCTCAATGGCAAAATCGGGCTTTAAACTCGGAACCTTTCAACCCCAAGCCCTAAACCTACGAAATCCTGAAGAAGCCCCCCTTCCTCAAGTCTCGCAGGTTCAAGCAGTCTCGAATCCTCATGGGCTTCAGATCCTGGGTGCAGCGCACTCTAGGCCCCGATCGGAGTTCAGGGCTTCGGCGTTTACGTAGGTATGGGCTTTCGGGTTTCGGAGGGTTTAGGGCTTCGGGTTTAGGGTTTAGGGTTTAGGGTTTAGGGGCTAGGAAACTAAACCCAAAATGAGGCGGTGCACTTCGGCGTCTTGTTGCTTTTCCGGGTAGGCCTGAAGCATCCTTGAAGACCCAAGAGTGAGAGACACCCGCAAACCCTCATCTCGAAGCCGGGGCTCTTCCAAGAAGGATGCGGTGGGTTTAGGGTTTGAGGGGTTCAGGGTTCAGAGCTCTAGGGCTGTAGAGTCTAGGGGCATTTTCTGCGAAGCTTGGGGGAGCTTTCTCCTGTCAGGTGTCGCTCTCGTGATGCCCTACGGCCCCTGGGGCATGTTCCGACCCCGGACCTGGGTTCCGATCGCAAGCGATCGCAAGTGCAGTGTTTTCATGTTTAATACTAGGGTATACTACTTTTATGCGACAAAGAACATTTTCAGAAGGATACATACAACCATGAAAGTAGCTGCAACGACGTATAAATGCAGATCGACAAAAAGGCAGATGCCCATATCTTTTAATGCTGGCCTTTGCCCGAGCCTCGAGAGCGCAGGAGAGAGACAGAGAGGGAGATCTTTACACATATGGTAACGCACGTCTGTATATGTATAGCGTGTGTATAGTATGTCTATGCGTATGTATAGGCGTAGGTACAGGTACAGGTGCAGGTGTAGGCATATGTATGTGTATAATATGTACGTATATTGTACACACAGACAGACAGACAGACAGACAGACAGAGACAGACAGACAGACAGACAGACAGACAGACAGACAGACAGACAGACAGGTGGACAGATCTAGCCAATACTGATCAACACATACATACCTACATATATATATATATATATGTATGTATGCATAAGATGTATCACACGAGTGGTGTTGAGGTAGTCTTTTTGGCACCCAGGCCGTGGCAGAAGTACCCGGATCCTGTGCGGATCGTCGTTGGGAAGCCTCTGGCCATGCCAAGGCTCAGGGTTCTTTGGTTTGGGGTTCAGGGTTTAGGGTATTTAGGGCTTAGGGTTTAGAATGTTTCGCGTTTAGAGTTTAGGGTTTAGGGTTGTTCACATTGGGATCTTTAGGTTTAGGGTTTCGGGGTTCAGGGCTTTTGAAACTTCGCCACTTCGCTATGTCAGTGTTACAGTGCGAAGAAACCCGACATGGCACTGCTTTGGGCTGAATTGGCCGGGTTCAGGGGTTCCAGCACCCCCCGGGACAAAACCACTGCCCTTCTGGACATAGTCGCTGGAGCAGCTGTCCAGCTGCTGGTTTCGGCGCACGAGAGTGTGATCTCAGGATTCCGGACCCCAGCAAAGCCGATGTAGCGGAGCACCACTCCAAGCCGGCTTCTGAGGCAATTGCATGACCAAGTATATGGGTCAGATCTGACTGTGAAAACCTCTTCATGAGCGCAAATGCAAATTGAGGTATGTGGAGGAGCTGTGCATGCTCTTCGAAAGGCACAAGGCATCGGATCCTCACTTGCTAGCATTTCACTGCTCGTATCACTTGTAACACTACGATGATCATGCTTCTGCTCGAGTCGTGAGGAGGAGTAACTTAAGTGCTCAGAGGCCAGCGCAGGCTATCCCGACTCCAGCCTGCAGATCGCGATGGGCCAAGATGTCGGGCCATGAGGGCTGGGAAATCGTCACGACGTATACGATCTATACACATGAATTAATACTGTTGCACCTCCGATGATCTAGGAACAACACAGTGTGTATGTGTGTGTATATATATATATATATGTAGGTCCTAGCATCGGTGTGTGCGTGTGTATATGTATGCAGACGAAAATGACATATATTGGGGGATGCAGACGCACGCAGTACTACACTGATACCAGAATCTCGTTGCCCGAGGTTTGATGCGCGCTTCGCTGCGATGCGAAGAAGAGAAAATAGCTGCAGACATTTGAGACCTTCGGGGTTGACTTGTCATGGAATAGTTGTTTCGTCTCGAAGTGGTAGGGTCTGCCGGCTTAGGGTTTGGGTTTTCAGGGATCAAACTCAGTGGCCCTGTTCGCTTTACCATCAAGCTCACCAAGCGGCAGAACCAAGCTCCCCAAGCAATGCGTAAAGCAGTGAGAATCATGTGCATGGCACTCGCTTCAGCACAGCCAGCAACCTCTTTCGATTTCACATGAGATGTGTAATTGTAAGTCAGTGATGCACCTCGCACATAGAACATACAGCATCGGAGTACCCTTACCCCTGGCAAAGCCATGGAGGGGCCGCCAGATGCGGATGATGCCAAAATCACCAGCGGGAAGGGCAAGGCCAAGGGCAAAGCACCTGCAAAGTCTGCCGATGCAGCCGCCAAGGGTGGCAAGAAGGGCGCTCCGGGAGGGAAAGGCAAGGGCGCGCCGAGCCTTTCCAAATCTCCGGTGGCACCCTCCAAGGCGATGAAACCGCTTTGGTGGAAGCGGCTACTCTTTGGCACCGACTTGCAGCCGGGTGCCATCTGGGACAGGGTCCGTGACGAGACACAGAGCCTGCCAGCAGAGGAACTGGAACTTCGTTTCGGCAAGGCGCAAGCCCAGGCCCCTGCGTCGAAGTCCACAGGGCCCGCTGCGACCGTTGCCTCCGAAGTGATCCGGATCCGCACGGATGCGGTGCAGGACCGGGAGCCCCTAGGTAGACTTCTGGCGTACCTTTTATTCAAAGCCCTTACAGTCAATTGGATTCCATTTTTATGTTTTTTCCACCTCTATGGGGTATATACGATTGTCTTACCCTCGAAGATGCTTTTCACAGGCGTTCCTTTAGGACTTTAGGAGCCAACCTAGGCTCCGACTCCTGCCTTCGCCGGACGAGTGCGGTCATGCCTTGGCAGAGCTCGAGGACTGGGATTGGGGTTTACAGGTTAGAATCCTATACTGAAGGAGTCATAGGGTTTTAGGCGTGGGGGGTTGGGGCTCTTAGGGTTTAGGCTTTCAGGGTTAAGAGTTTTGGGAGTTTAGGCTTCGGGCTTGAGGGTTTAGAGGTTTAGGAGAGTGTTTAGGGCTTCAGGCATAAACCCTAAACCCTAAACCCAAACCTTAAACCCTAAACCCGAATCCCAAAACCCTAAACCGTTGGGGTCGAGGACCAGCGCCTGGCATTGGATGAGCTCGAGCGCCTCCAGAGGGCCGTTTGCCCGACGAAGAGGGAGCTGGAGCTCTTGGAGGAGGCCTGAGGTGCATAGGGTTTAGGGTTTGGGGTTGAGGGTTTAGGGGTTCAGGGGTTTAGGGGTTGAGAGTTTAGGGTTCAGGGTTCAGGGTTGAGCGTTCAGGGTTTAGGGTTTTAGGGTTCAGGGCTCAGCGGTTTAGAGTTTAGTGTGTGGGGCCTTGGTGGAACACCCGATTCTGAAGAACCGTGCCTCCAAAGCAGCGCAGCCGATGTTCCGCTCATTCGTCAGTCAGGTCCTAGGTCTGGAGTTGAAAGGCATCCGTGCCGGAGCTTCTGTACATGAGGCAAGCTTTGTAGTAAGGCTTTCGCGAGTGTATGCAGGGCTCCTCAGCGATGTGGGTCAGTGTACCTTAGGGTGAGTGCTTGAACTTAGTCCATAAGCCCAGCTCAGACCGACTCACATCCTGCCAGATCAGACATAGTAAGACCTACAGCAAGAACTATGCTAATCATACGCTAATAGATTAATTATACTAATGTACTATAATATGCTGTAGTATACTCTCCTTATATATATATATAGCAATATACTTCTTATACTGTAATGTACGATCACAAACTATAACATGCTAAAGCTCTATCAAAGGATATTCCACTATAACCTTTTTGTGGCCGCGTCCAGGCCCGGAAGCTGCAGCCAATGGCACGCCTTGGCCGACGAGAGGAGTGCATCCAAAACCATCTATGTATATTACCATATTATAGTACACTACGGTATTTTGTGACATACTAGTAGAATTAATAGTATAATACGATCTAGTTGTAGTAGATGATAGTATATTGTAGTAGATTTGAGGCGCTGCGACACCTAGACCCTCCGAAATTTAGGGTTTAACCCTGAATCCCTCAACTCCCACAAATGCCCACAAACCCTAAACCCCTGAACCGCAAATCCAGGAGTACTGGGAGCAGCTGAGAGTAATCCCGAACTTTGAGCAGCGCATGGAGTGCTGGCACTTCATCCGCACTTACCGCGAGCGTGTCGCGTGCCAAAGCCAGCACCTGGAGGATAGACCGGCAGCCGGCAAGAACATTGCAAGAACATGCTTGGACCATGGAAGAGCTGCGATTATGCTACCAGTCTCGACCATACTGCAGTAAAGCGTGATGGCAATAATCAGCAATCGCAGCAACAACAACAACAGCAGCAACAAGAACTGCGACAGTTGGTTTGAGCACTGCTTTAAACACACATTGTACTTATCATACACATGACAGTAACAGGCAAACCTAACTTAACCGTAACAGCAATACTAGTGTTTGTCATCGTTATTAACCTTGGTTTGATTCTTCTAGTCTTGTTGCAAGAATCACAATAGTTTCAGTAGGTGTGGAAAGTCATAAATGGCCTGCAGCCTGCAGGACCTCTTGGACATCTTTCAAAGTTTGGAGAAGTCGGAAGCCGTCGCTTCCTTGTTGGCCTTGATCCTCGCCACGGGAATCTGGATAAATCGGGGCACTGAGTTTGCGGCTGCCAGGGGTTTTGGCATCGAGTTCTTGGAGAAGCTTCATAGCATCAAGGGGGCCGATGGCAAAAGCCTACAGCATCTGCTGTTTGTGGTCTTCTTCGACTCCTTGGATAGTCAGGCAGCCGAGTTTGTGGAGGCACTTGGCCCCTTGCTTCAGAACGTCAGCCGCCGCGTCATCCAAGACTCTGAGGAGACGAAAATCAGCAAGGCAGTCCATCTCTCTTTGGAAGAGTGTGATGAAGCTGTGTCTTCCATTCATGAGACAGCATTGGATATCCAAGCATCTCTGCAGAAGTGCACAGAAAGCTTGGATCCCGCGGACCCCGTGAAGCTTCGCCTGCATCGGGAGTTTGCGACGGCGACGAAGATGATCGAAAGCTTGGTGCAGCTGCGCAACTCTGTCAAAAGCCACTATGATCGTGTGCTCAAGTGGTTCCAGGCACCCGGATGGAGGACTGACATGACAAGATGCCCTTACTCACAGCTGCACCGCTTCAGACCGCAACGACTCAATTCTGCAGGAGTGCCGACTTCTTCCTTTTGTGGGACAACTTCTTGTTGCCCAGCGAGCTGCTTGCAGCACGATGCCGCGATGGGCAGTCTGCGGCTCCAGATGCCAGGCCCGGGCCTCTCCATACTCTGCACAGTCCCAAAGTTCAGGAAGTTGCTTGCACCGCGGATACTTTGAGTTATTTAGCACACCGCCGGGGCACATCATGATGCGTTTCGCTTCCGGGCTGCACCGCCCCTTCTTCATGAAGGTGGCAGATGCGAAAGCCATCGCCTCTGCTCAAGGGCCCAGGAGTCTCCATAAGTTTCAGACGGCTGCCGTTTGGATGCCCACCACACCCATACTTCTCCGGTCCACGTCCAAAATACCAGAAGACACCAGCAACACACTTACCCCAACGCCCAAAATTCCCTACATTTTGATTAACAGCGGTAGCAGCAGCAGCAGTAGCAGCAGCAGCAGCAGGAGTAGTAGTAGTAGTAGTAGTAGTAGTAGTAGTACTACTACTACTACTACTACTGCTACTACTACTACTATTTCTACTACTACTACTACTACTACTACTACTACCACTACTACTACTACTGCTACTACCAGCCACCCCCCTACCAACTACACGTCGTCATTGTCATCAACAACATCACCACCAAAAT